CTGCGACCACACGCCACCATTTATTTTAACTACAATTTCAAACTACACATTATACACAAAGAGACAAACGAAATATACATACAGTGAAACCTGGTTAATAAACCTCTATAAATAAAATTTACTGAGACAGGCCTCCCACTGTGGTGGGCGCTTCAAAGCCCTAAAAACATCAGATAATAAATGTGTTATTGGAGCGTCCATCAAATACGTATGTAGACAACAGATTCGTTTATTTTCAAGTAACTAACCTACCCTCCACCTTAACAATACTCTCATAGCAACTAAACTTTAATACGGTACAACTTTAACTAAGCTATCCTTAGTTACTAAGCATACAACTAGGGAATCTACTGTACAATTAGACCGGCGTTAGAATTAAACTTGCCCTCGAATATTTTTAGCTCGCTTTAAGCTCAATTTACATCGTCGCGGAACGGAATTGAAGCGAATTTTTGTAACGAAATTGTACATAGTAAAATGAGTTTTATGTTAAGGGGCTACTCCTAGCGAACGGCCTTGAGCATTCGGTCCGCCAACTCTCGCTACAATATATCGCGTAAAAAATATAGAAGACGCTACCTACTGTACGAACGTAGTATTATTTTTTCAACATCAATATACTATTTTATGGAAATACACACGGCGTACAACGATAAATGTATTTTAATTTTTTTATTCGGTATATTAGTTGCATTATATTAGAATTATGTAATCTCATATATTATCTAATTATGAAATTTTATAATTAATTATACATTAAAAATGAAGCATTGAAAATAGTGAGTTTAAAAGATACCCACTCACTATAGGTAAATAGATAGATAGCTCGCCTTTTGTACATTTTTTTTCATTTTTTCGGGATTTATCGTGACGATATACAAAATCAATACCCGGACGTTCACGTAAATATTTTTTCAAACTTTTTTTTAAGTAGCAATATACATATAGAGATCTTTTGGAAAATATAAGATGGATTAATTAGTGTTTTCTTGATATACGGTTATCATATTATCGTATAAGTGCAATATGGTTATGATAGAGGCATTTTAAGAACACAAAATTGCGTGCAATAATATTCAATCAACCATTCTTGTCAATTAAAAGATCTAGACTAAATAACTGAACGTCCGCTATAGCCTCAAGGTGCAGTCGCGGGAATGTTTGAGCATTCTTGCGAATTTGCGTGCCTTCACGCGCGACGAGGGGAAATTAACGCTTCCGTTCCGTTGCAATGTAAATTGAGCCTTGGTGCTTCCAGGGCAAGAGCACACATATGTTGTGATGTCGGTATAGGCCTAGGTCGTCGGGGTGCTCGCTCGAATTTTGCCTGCGGCGACTGTTCCTTCTCTCAAGTCGAGATGGTGATCGTTTAGCTAGTGAATGCGGCGATTCTATCTTCTCTAACGATTCGCCCTTGGCTTCCTCCGCACTGGTCGCGTCTTCATCTACGTCACTCTCGGCTCCACTGACCTTTGGTACATTTGATTTCAGTTGATCGGTGTTATTTGCTACAGTTGCGGCACTCGTGTGCGACAGAGATAATCAATTTTTTGCTAGAATTACTTGATCGACATGCCATGGCAGTCAACCCCGTCGCCTATGTCTGCTTTGTGGGATACCGGTGCAGCGTTTTAACAAGCGTGGCTTCGGTCCAACGTGTCGCGTGGCGGTGCAGTCGTGCGCGTGCCCCGGCCGCGCGGCCGCGCGCTCGCAGCGCCGCCGCTGCACGCCCCGAGCCTCCGAGCCTCCGACCACTTTTGATATTTAAAAAAGAATTTATTAAGAGCCGTGTACAGCCCTCATACAGTGCTCTTTTAATCGCCTTTTTGATTATCTTTACAGCATTCTCCGCCGCACCGTTTCCCTGAGGTCGATAAGGAGCCGTGGTGATATAAATGTGGCGGCGCTGTCGTCGCGCCACAAGCGAAAACACGTCGAAGTCTAAATCGCGCTAACAAAGTTCCGAAATTAAAGCAGCATATATAGAATAGCTCCGAACTACCAATCGGCACTTTTCCGCCTGTTGCACCGCCCCCGAGCGGTTGTGTACAGGTAGTCCGCGTGCGCTCCGTTAGCGCCCCCCCAGTTTCGCGCCCCGCGCGCCTCTCAGTGTTGGCGCTATAAGCGCTGAAGTCGGGTGAGTGTCTCATCGCTAACTCTCAGCTCTTACCCCCCCGCCTTCAGGTCGGGGAGGTCTGACTGAACGCTTTTTTATATTGTAGTACACTAGTACTGTATATGTTAGTAGTTTATTATAATTATATGTGTAGTATATATAACGTGTATATTGTCATATTGTTTCTTGACTTAGCCCCCGTCCTTTTGAGGACGAGGGAGAGTTTCAGAATAAGAACGTCCCGTTCTTTTCAGAACGGTGATCCCTGATCCCCCCACGCCATACGATAGTTCTAATTTTTAGTTTATTTTTTAGTTTAGTTGTAGAATAGGTTAAAATGTCCTCACAGGACATAATAGGTTCGATTTTCGAAGTTTTCGCTAGGTTCTCAGGTGACAAGAATGCTATTACAGCATCCCTCTCAGCCCTTCTGGCTTCTTCCGCCCTTCAGGCACCGCCGCCCGTTATAGCGGACTACCTCGCGTCACGTAATTCGTTCGCGCCGCTCGAAATCGACATGGAGTGCTCTCACTCCGATTCCGCGTCATCAACATCTGCCTCCCGGAAGAGGTCTGCCAAACAGTCCAGCACCAGGACATCGGAGTCCTCTGACTCCGATGATACCGGCGACTCCAATACATCGTCGTACACCACGGTTTCGTCAAAGCGCGCATCGAAGCGCGCCGCGAAAAACCGTTCGCCCCCCGCCGTAGCGGCCCGTGCCGCTCCCCCCACCCCCGCAGCCCCCGCCGCTGCCTCAGTCCCTGCAGCCCGAGCTGCCGCGTTAGATAGCTCAGCGCCAACAAAACCGGCCACGCGTTGTGCGCCGCAATTAGCTAAGAAACAAGCCCCGCCCCCTGTCTTCTTAAGAGATAAGGCTGAATTTACCCGGCTCAGTAAGATATGTTACGACTCGAAAATTAAGTACGAGGATGCTACCAACTTAGGCGTAGCAATCAAAATATTGCCAACCACGATCGACGATTTCCGCCGTATCACGAAACTTTTTACGTACGAACGCGTATCGTACCACACATACGCTCTCCCGGAAGAGCGTAAAGTTAGGGTCGTCATCCGAGGCGTCCCGTTTGAACTCTCCAACGAGGAGATACTTGCGGACCTTAAGTCACAAGGTTTCCCCGTTGAAGCGGTTCACAAAATGCATAGTAGGACCGGGCTGAGATACCCGGTAATATTAGTAATCTTAAGTAACGTCCCGGAGGCTAAAACCATCTTCCGGCAAGTACGCACTGTGTGCGGCTTGTCTGGAGTCAAGGTTGAGTCACCGCGTAGGCGCGGTTTCCCGGCGCAGTGCCACCGCTGCCAATTGTATGGTCACGCGGCGGCCAATTGCTCCGCCCCACCCAGGTGCGTTAAGTGCCTAGATCCGCACATCACCAAAGAGTGTCCCAAAGATGCCGTATCCCCGCCCGCGTGCGTCCTGTGTCAACAGACAGGCCACCCGGCGAGCTACAGAGGATGCCCGTGCGCTCCTCGTCCGCGCATAGCAAGACAGGCACCACCGCCGGTAAATGACCGTTCATTCCCGGCCTTATATGTTAGGAAGCCCCGTCAGGGCGTATCTCAGCCGTCTCAGGGCTTTGCACGACCCCCTCAGGGTCCCCCGAGACCACCGCAGGCACCGCTTAGGCCACCACCGGGCTTCTCCAAGCCTATGCAGGCTCCAGTTTTTGCCTGGGGCCCCAAAAAGGTAGATCCACCGCCACAGGTATTTTCTGCTCCGCAGCAGAAACAGTCGACAATTGGCGATGACTTTAACACGGTTTACGCCGCGATAAGGAACATCGACATTAACGAAATCTCGGTTTTAGCGAGTAAACTGCGCGCCGCCCGGTCCCCTCAGGACCGGCTTTTGGCTCTCGCAGAACACAGTAATTTATTGCGTTCGTTGTAAGCTAAGTTAACTTAATTAACTTAGCTTATAATGACAGAGCCTTCTGCTCTGCCTAGAAGTCACGGTCGTATCAAGCCCAAAGGGCTATCGCTTATTTCATTTAATATTCGCGGATTGCGTAATAATCTCCCAGAGCTTAAGCTCTTCCTTAAAGATCGCGAAGCTGATTTTCTCCTCTTACAGGAAACCAATCTTAAACACACAGACAATAAAGGCTTATCCATTAAAAATTATTCTCTTCTTCGTAATGATAGGCACGACCGCCGAGGCGGCGGCACGGCCATTTATTACAAGAAGACACTACATTGCTCTCTTATTGATACTCCACAGCTTACCAATATGGAAGCTACGTTATGCAGGATATCTATGACGGGACATCAGTCTTTAGTCATAGCCTCCTGTTACATTCCCCCTAAAAACCTCCCCCTCAAAGATGATTTTGAGGCAATCTTATCTCAAAGTAATTCAGTCATTATGTTTGGAGATTTCAACTCTAAACATACTGAATGGACATGCCGTACGATTAATACTAATGGTAGGATACTGCGTGATATAACGCAGTCTCTTGACTTAACCGTTTTCAGCCCGCTCGGTGCAACGCACTATCCCGATAATACCGATTATAATCCAGATGTACTAGATTTTGCGTTACTCAAAGGAGTTTCACTCAACCTCAGGTCTATTGAGACACTAGACGATATAGGATCCGATCACCGACCGGTCTCTCTTATTCTTGGCCATCAGCCACCCCCTATTATAACTACGAAAACCTTCACTAACTGGAAGGGTTTCAAGGACTCACTAGCAAAAGCTATGGACTCGCAGGACTCCCCTAATTACCTATCGTCGGACTTAGACTTAGACAGTCCTGTAAAAATCGACACCGCGGTCGAATCACTTTCAACCCTAATTAAATCCTCCCTTAAGGAGAATGAAAGGGTCGTTCCGGTTGCTAATACTAATGGGCTT